CTCCTGAAAGACATTGATAAATTATTTATAACAATACTATGATACATTATGTCATTGTTTTGCAATTCAAAACTTGTTGAGTATAAATAATTCCGTTCAGTCCATTTCAAATTAAACGTTGCAGTTTAATAATACATCAAAAAAAAATATGATCAAATAATTATTTTATAACATTAAATTCGGGTTCAACGGAATATGACAGAATATGACGGATATCAAAATATCGAATAAATATAATAATATCAACGAATAAATTCATATCAAATCGGATATAACAAATATTTCGAACATTCACCAAAGCGACTATGTGATTGTTGATATTCGCTAGTGAAAGTCGACATTCTCTTGATTTTGGTCATTCACGGTAGCATAGAGATGGAGCTTCCAAAATTTATAATAATAAAATGAAGAATTTGTTTGTGTGTGGGTCCCTCTCCAGAACAGTTCGAGCTGGCCTTACTGAAAATTAGAGACTGAGTAAAAGGGTACTTTTGTACCTTCCCTCAAAAATTTAAATTAAATTGTTCCTGAGAGACAATTAAAAAAGAAACTTTTCTCATTAGTATAGAGCTAACGTCATTGGTATCAATGAAACTGTAGACGATATTAAAGATAGCGTCAGTGGTGTTTGCTTGCTTTTAGCTCTCATTCATCAAAACAATGAGATTATTGGACGTTCTTAGATATTTAATTGTTTTTTTATTCGTTATGTCAGATTACTTCAATGTTATGATCAACGTGAGCGTGGTAGCACAGGCCTACTACACCAAAACAGAATTTATTACGAGTATATCACACGATGAAAATTATCGGCAACGAAACCCGGCAAGTGAACCGTAAGCGCAGTCTTATCCTCCACTTCCAACAAAAATTGCTCGAAAATCCTTCGTGTGAATCACGGTTGCCTGAAATATCAGCAACTGTTTCTCTCAGAGAACGCTGGAACGCTGGAAATGTTATTTATCTCGGCCTTTGGCGCGAAGCGCCACTTACCGATTCATCTAAATTGTGGAGTCATAATTTGGTTAGGCATAAATTAATTACAGCAATAAAATATATAGAAAAAGGGGGTATGGAGAGGTCTCCATTGTCAAGTACTAGTATGAAGTCATGAACATAACATAAATGAGTAGGCATTAATAATTGATCAAAGTTAGATCGTTAGATTAAGTGTGCAATATAATAACAGTAAAACAGGTATATAAAACATATTTACAGTGTATTTACATAATATTTACAAGATATATACATAGATTGTGTCCCTCTGTTAGAATAGTGACCCGGCCGTCCCGGTGATCACCGCTCGTGCCGGGTTGCTCACTATAATAAAATTTAATCAGCTCTGTGACTCCCCCAGATCGGACCCTTCAAGAAGGGTTGCTCCTTCACCGGGTTTGTCACAGTGCTGGTGGTGGAACTGTGTTTGTTTGTGTGTGGTGTATTAGTTGTAGTATTTTGATATCAAACAGTCCGATGTTAAAAATGCGGTCAGTGGGCTAAAGCTGATATTATCTCGCATGATATCTAAATCAAAGATTTTATTAAAATTTGCGTTGTTGCACTCCTTTGCTTTTTTATAGAATTTTGCATTGATCCTAGCCATGTATTGATTAATATCCTCAATTTTTAAGTCGTTTTTAAGAGATGTGTTGCTGATAGCCCTTGGGGCTCCCAACATTGTTCTAATGAGCTTGCCTTCAAGATTTGAAAGTTTTTTCTTTAGATTATTAGTTAGTGTTGTTAAGGCTGGACTGCCGTAGGTCAGAATCGGTCTAATAATTTGAAGGTAAATGGTTCTTTTATTGTTAATATCAAGCTTGGAGTTTTTGTTTAAAATTGCGTATAGGGCGAAAAACGCACCTCTACCTCTCCTGATAACATCATCTATATGCTTACTCCAGCTGAGGTTGAAAGAAATGGTAATACTCAGATATTTAACCTGTTTAATTGGTGCTATGTCCACACTAAAAAGTTTGATATTTGGGATAGTCTCGAATTTTATTTTACTGTGCATTATCATGTACTGACTCTTGTCTGGGTGAAGCTTTATCCTCCATTTGGAGCACCAGTTTTCCACTATTTTCAATTTATTTTGTAGGAGCTCAATAGCTCTATTAGTGTTTAGTGATTTGGTGACTATAGCAGTGTCATCTGCGTATAGTGCGACTAGTTCATTGAGGTTGTTGTTATTAACAGGAAAGTCTGCAGTGAACAGAATGTAAAGAATCGGTCCAAGTATGGACCCCTGCGGTACTCCCGCTCTGATAAGTTTATAATCAGAATAAGTGTTGTTTATTTTAATTCTAAAATAACGTTCATTTAGATATGCATTAAAAAGGGAGAGTAGGCTCTTTGAGAAATTCATCTCGTTTAATTTGACAATAAGACCCTTATGCCATACTCGATTGAACGCTTTCGCGACGTCGAGTAGGATAAGGGCCATTGTCTCCTTTTTAAATTTACCATTACTAATGAATTCCATTAAGTTAATGACTTGTTTTGTAGTAGAAAGGTTGGCTCTAAAACCGTATTGTTGATCCGGTAGGTTATGTAAATATTGTTGCAGTCTATTTTTGATAACGTTCTCCAGTATTTTAGAAAGTGAGGGCAGTAGGCTAATAGGCCTGTGATTGTTGGGATTAGAGGCATCTTTCCCTGGTTTCGGGAAGAGTATTATATCCGATTTTTTCCACATGTTTGGGAAATAACAGTTATTTAGGCAGGCATTAAAAATCTCAGTAAGGATGGGGATAATAGTAGGTGGAGCATTCTTGATCATTTCATTAGTAATACTATCATGCCCAGGAGCCTTTTTGTTTTTTAGTTTTTTGATAATATTAATAATTTCATTGTCATTGGTTGGCTCGTTATCACTAGTATTAGGGATGTTGGACATGATGTCATTATAAGTATTCTCAATCTCAACAAAGTAGTCATTAATAGGGCATGATGGTTCGTTATTTAGGTTGAATTGCTCATACATTGTATTCGCGAAAACCTCTGCTTTATCTGCATCAGTGTAAGCAATGTTGTTGGAATTTTTAAGGGGAAGATTTGTTTGTGGAGTTTTCCTAAGAGCTCTTGCCATCCTCCAAATTGAGTTGTCGTCTTTATTTAGTGATGCAACCTTATCATTCCATTGGGTGTTTCGATATTTTGAGCATTCCTCTGTGATGATTTTTTTTAGTCTGTTTACCTCGGTCTTATAACTTGGATTGGAAGTCCTTTTATAATACTTTATCAGTTTATTCTTGACTCTTATTTTTTCTTTGATTTGCCATGGGAGTTTGAAGTTGTTCAGATTTTTAACTTTCACCGTGGTGGCGTCTGATAAAGCATTTTGCATATTAGTGTTTAAGTTGTCGATTGCAGTATCAATATCATCGTTAGATTTTATTTCATTTGGCCTCTTAAGTTTCAAATTTAGGATATTGTGGTAGAGCAGCCAATCTGTATTCTTTTTCTTAATAGTTTGCTCATTAATTTGTAGGTTAGTATTAATCAATACAGGCAGGTGATCGCTGCTGAGGTCATTGATAACATTAAGTGCAAATGCCGGAGGCATGTTAGTCATCATGATATCCAAGATATCTGGTCTGCAGTTATGCTTATATGGATAATGCGTGGGGTCTGTTGGCGCATATATTGTTAGGCCCAAATTTTTGACAATGATATGGAGTCTTATGCCTTGTCTATTATTTGTATTACAGCCCCATATGATGTTTTTTGCATTGAAGTCTCCTAAAATAATGGTGTCCATATTGTTATCAAAAAGTTCCTTAAAATATGACTCCTTCAGTTCATTGTTGGGGGGGTTGTAGAGTGAGGTGATCTTAATATCTTTATTTGCTAGTTGAATAATTACTGATGTTTCATCTATGAGGTCTTTGGTATTAGCATTGTATAAAGAAGAGTTAATACATTTTGAGACGTAGATCGCTGTGCCGCCACCGTTGTGCGTTGTGCGATCACACCTATAGGCATTATACATAGGTAGGTTGAGTCTTTGATTGGGCTTGGCGTGTGTCTCTGTAATGGCTATAACATCAGGGGTGTGTTCAGCGACAAAGTCAATTAACTCTGCCATTTTTGTAGTCATATTATTAGCGTTCCAGAGAATGATACTTAGCAAAATTGTTTTATTTCTGTCCATAATTTTCACTGGGGTTTCCTTTGTTTTTCTCAGTGTTGTAAGTTTGGGCACTGACTCTAGTAATAAGACTGTGGAGGTTGTTAGAAGCCTCAATGGCTTTAAGTAGTAATTTCTCAAGGTTGAGTTCCTCGTTTTCTGGGTTGCTGCTCAGGGCGCTAGCGTATGTTTTTGGGTATTCGCTACTTCTCGTAACAACATTCCTTTTGAAGTCATATGATTTACTTTTGTAGAACTGATTTTGTATTTTTTTGACTGCTTCTTTATATTTGTCGCATTTTTGTGCGTTGGCTGTATGTTCGTCATTACAGTTGCAGCATTTGGGTTTAGTATGCTCGTTGGGGCAGTCCTTTGTTAAGTGGTCGCCAGCGCATTTAACGCATTTAGGCGAGTGTTTGCAATTGGTCTGGCCATGGAAGAACGCCTGACATCTGTGGCACTGTGTTGGTCTATCTGATTTTTTATAATCTTCAACTCTAATGTTGGTGTTAAGAATTGATCTGATATTATAGATTTCCTTATAGTCTCCTAGTTTATTTAAATCGACTATGAAGATGGGCAGTTTGCGCTTATATTCGCCTTGTCTTTTTTTAAGTTGTGTTACCTTAGTAACTGGTAGGTTATGTCTCAAGAGGTCTTCTGTGATCTCCTCTTCAGTGAAATCGGGTGGGACGCTTTTTAGCACTACTNTGAAAGTAAAAAAAAAAATAACGAGTGAACGTGGTTTTTCGGGGGAGGGGGATCAAAGAGAAAACTTCTCACGTTAATGCCGTGACCCCGTAAACCGCGGGTTCAAACATAAAAAAAGTGGCTGACTCCCCCTCCCCCACACCTCCTCGCTGATCATTCGGTATGGTACGATGGACAAACATACCTGCGCGTGCTCTAGTCTGGAACAGTTCTTTTTCCTTTAATGGCATTTGCATATGTTTCTATGTTCTTAACCGTGACTGGTATTACGCAAACCCAAAAGACAAAGACTTCGCACCCACGGATATAACTAATTGTGCGGTTAATTTATCGTCGGTAAACATGTGGTGTCGGGTAAGTGGTCATATATATTAGCCAAATGTAACAAGAAAGTTACAAAAAAATGGTAACCCTATTACGAGCAACCGTTTGGGCTCCGAACTGCGAAGTTGCCTTTAGAGTGGAGGTTACGTTTACGATTGCTGATATTTTTCTCTCGTGTGATATACGTATTAAATAATTAAAATGAAACCACGTGTTTATTTATTTATTTATTTTTTGTATCTAATTATTTTTAAAACCCATTGCTACCAAACTAAACAATTTAATATCAACAATAGTTGAAATAAAATAAAAAAATTTATAAAAGCAAAATTAAGGGATAAATTTTGACTAAATCATGTGGAGAAAAAAAACTAAATCATTTAGGCGAAATATAAAAAATTGCCATACATTATTAATGTCAATGATGCTTGATTTATTTTGGCAAAAAGTACTAATTGGAATTAAAAAATAAGATAATATATACCAGGGGTGGCGAACCTTTATACACCAACGTACCATTCTCTCTAAAAAATTGCTTAATGAGGTCATAGACGTGCCGTCAAATTTTTTTGACTTCGTGATTATTGGGAAAATAATAATACTAAATACTATCAACTCAAAACTCTTTATTTACATTGAAAAAAGAAAAAGATCATTTTGCAATGTCTCAGTTATACACGTAATTCAACTTAAAATAACATCAGTATGACTTCTGTTGTTGCAGATTAGATGACAAATAACTTATATTAGGTTGTAAGATGTTAGTTTAGGCAAGACTGATGATTTTTTTTTCTGGTTATTTATTGTTAGCTTGTTTTTTACGGTTATTGTTTTTTTTAGTATTAATTTTTAATTTTATTATCAATAATTGTTTATTATTTTGTTTGTTTTTCGTGAATTTCAGTTTAATTGTTGCACATGCTTCATAAACATTTGTGTAATAACAATTCATAGTGTAGCAACAATTGTGATCGGGTGCAGTGCCCAAAATATTGTGTCGCGTGCAATAAATGGCACGCGTGCCATTGGTTCGCCATCCCTGATATATACTGAAGAGAAAAATTAAGGGATAAATTAGACTGATTCATGTAGGAGAAGCCAAGTGAATCCCCACACTATTATTTACGTCTGTGATGCTTCATTAATTTGGTAATAAGTAATAACTAAAATAAAAATTATAGGCTATGTACTTAAAAGCATAATTAATGAAGAAATGCCAGTAGTTCGTCAAGAATAACAACAAAAACTCGTTATTCTATTTTAGACACCAATGATTCTTGATTAATTTTGGTAATAAGTAATAAGTACTATAACTGAAAAAAACACTTATTAAAAACAAAAATAATGGAAAAGCATTGCTGATTTATTTAGTAGGAAATTGAAAATCGCCCTACTATTTCTGAAGTCAATAATACCTAATTAACTGTAATAATGGGGCATGAATTAAAATGAAACTATAAGCTGTGTACTAAAAAGCAAAATTAATGGGGAAATAGTTAAAATTAGTTAAGGTAAAACGTAAAAAATCGACATACTATTATTGACGCTAATGGTGCTGGTATAATTAATTTTGGTAATAGGTATTAATTGAAATTTTAAAAAAATAAGTTTTGTAGTGCAAAATTAATTAAGAATAGAACATAGGAGAAATATTAAAAGTTACCATACTATAATTGATGCCACTGGTGGTTAATTAATGTTGGTAACTGGTACTTTTGGAATTATGGTAATTGGAACACTTTTAATCAATATGAAATATACAAATGTAGGAAAATTTAGTACATGTTGTACTTGCGCAGTAATATCATTCCAAAAGATATTGAATACAGTTAATCGTTATTTTGATGGAATGAACTATAAGAAAAAAATCATGTTTTGCTTAAACTAATAACGTAAAGCCATCGGCAGGGACAAAATGGAATAATTTTAGCTTTATTAATTATGTTGGTCTTTCGGTTTTTATGCATTATTTAGTAGTGTTGTTCTGTTTGATAAATAGTTTAATTTTTTTTTTCTCCCTGAGGACGAGTATTCAGCTAGTGATGATATAAAAAGGCGGTATACGAAGGCAAGGTTTAAGCACCATTAACGGCAGAGGTTTTTGTGCGTGTGTTTCACATTTATGAAATGCAAATGCGACTTAGTTTCACTCTTAAGGCTCTACAACAAAGATAACATTTATTTCCGAAATTCGAACGACCCAGATAAACTGACGACCTTATGAAAATGTTGAACATTAAAAGTAACGAAAAAATCGCTTTGAAATATTATCATACAAAAAGTTGGTATTTTTAACAAATTATTTAATAAAAGAATCCCATTTCAAAATCTCAAAGTACATTTTCAGAAAAAATCGGTTCACTGCTAAACCATAATATTGGTACTTTAAACCATAGTACGGTGCGTACTCTAACTAACGTGTTCACGTTCAGATTGATAATAAGATTTAATTTACCTCGACCCTGTTTGAGTAGGCAGAAAATGTGTTGCTCGCTCATTCCTCACACATTTCGGACAGAACAGAGTGAAACGGATTTCATCCGATTATTTAAATTTGTGAATGGTCCCTTAATTATTTCAACTAACTGATGAGCGACAGCCGCGGTGAGCTTTAAAACATTCGGAAATGAACGCGAAAGTCAGAAAAGATGGGAGGGGGGGGGCAAAGAAACAAAAGATCACGATCGGGGGAGGTTTGAAAGTAAAAAAAAAAATAACGAGTGAACGTGGTTTTTCGGGGGAGGGGGATCAAAGAGAAAACTTCTCACGTTAATGCCGTGACCCCGTAAACCGCGGGTTCAAACATAAAAAAAGTGGCTGACTCCCCCTCCCCCACACCTCCTCGCTGATCATTCGGTATGGTACGATGGACAAACATACCTGCGCGTGCTCTAGTCTGGAACAGTTCTTTTTCCTTTAATGGCATTTGCATATGTTTCTATGTTCTTAACCGTGACTGGTATTACGCAAACCCAAAAGACAAAGACTTCGCACCCACGGATATAACTAATTGTGCGGTTAATTTATCGTCGGTAAACATGTGGTGTCGGGTAAGTGGTGATTAGAATTTATTTATTTATTCCCAATTTGAAGCTCTAATAGTTTTTATTCAATGTTCTTAAGCTCGTATATAATTTATTTTAATTGCGGTAAAATATTATTATAAGCTTAGCTATGTATATATATATATATATATAAAAGCTATATATATAATATTAGTGAAAGCAATTTTTTTGTTTATAAGATCTTTATTGCTTTATTTCCTAATGCTTTATTGATTAAGAGTTCATTTAAAGCCACGCATTGATTTCTTTTTTTGATATTGAAAACATATTAATAGATTGTTATAAATGTTTTTATGTATTTCGTTTCTTTAATTATTAGAATTTGATATTTTATTTGAGCTCCGACTTTCAAATCCAATTTTTACAAGAATTTTTTATTCTAATTTCACAAAAATGTTCAGAAAAAATTCCATTAATAGCTCTCTTAAATCTTTCATAAGAAGGATATGACATAATTAAAAAAAATAATAAATACTGGTTTAAGAATACTTGTCGAATTTTCATAAAATTTCATAGAAATTGATGCATTTAAAAGTTATAATAATCCAACCATAAGTGCTGCTTAAGAATTTTTCTCATGTTTCGTCATTATTTTCTTTTCCTTGTATTTTCAAATAATTTAGAGTATTTTAAAGTAATTTCTTTCTTTTTTAAAATAATTAAACTAAATTTATTAACTCGCAACTAACACAAATTAAAAATAATATAGTGCTATCCCTGTTCAATGTAACTGTTTTAGTATTTAAATTATTATTAAACATTTATTTATTGGTTAAATATTTGAAGACGAGAGGGAAAGAATGGTTTTTGTCCATTTTTAACAAAAATGGCGATTGGATCATTATCTGTTGTTGCATTTTGAGTAATTCAATAACGTGGAAAAATCGGTCTTTTCCCCCACAAAGGTATTTGCGAAGGATTTTAAGAACATATGTAATAATTGCGAATAATTTTAATCGGAAGAACATATTTAATTTTTAATATGCAGTGGATATTTAATATTTTCAAATAATTTTAATTGTAAAGACATATATAACAATTGAAAACAATTTTAATCGGAAGAACAAATATATTTGAAAATAATTTTCATTTGCAGAACGTATATAATATTTGGAAATAACTTTGATTCGAAAATCATATAATGTTTGAAAATAGCTTTACAAATTAAAACATAGATAACACTTGATTGTAATTATAATGAGAAGAACATTTGCAATTAGCTTTAACTGAAAAAAATACCTAAGAAATGTTAACCAATTATATACTTGTTGTGGCTTGGTATTAATTTACATATTAATGTTATGTATAAAACTAAATATCGAAAACTAAAAACCTTATGGAAATAATACTAAATTTCAATTCGGGTTAATATGAAACAAAAAATAGATGTTTATTTTTTAAATTAATTAATAAAAAAATGCTATAATAATAAGATATCTGTTTGTTTGTTCTTTTGTTTTTTAAAATTAAGTGTAAGATTCAAAAACTTTCAATGTGCTAAAAATAACCATTAGAATATAAAATAGCAATTTAAAATATAAAAATAAGAAGAAAATTATTTATTGCTCTAAAATTATATGAAACAAAGTATTTTAATGTATTAAAAGCAAACTTATAATAATATAAGCCTTTATGTAAAAAACAATTAGTACATCAAATTCTATTTTAGTTACGAGAAGAAAAAAAAAAGAATCAAGACTCTCCGATAGCAATCTACATTTTAACGTTTGATTTATGAAAAAAATTGCTCGTAACTATGACGAAAATTTAACACATCATGTACGAGCCAAAGAAATTAAATTTTCGTAGAACATTTTAAAAGAAATTTTCAGGCATAATAATTATATATATAAAAAAAATCTCACAATTTCAGTTAATTGACTTAAAATTTGTAAATAGTCCAAGTCTTAGAGCCAGGGCATTAATTCACAACGAAATAAGATTACAGTTTTGGATATTTATTGT